ATCGTAAATAATTTTTTTTGTGGACAGGGCAAAGAAGACTATAGTCAAACATGGACCTTGGATTTTAGGAAAGCTAATTTTAACAAGTTCAGGGAATTACCAGGTGGAATACCCTGGCTAGATATACTAATGGAAAAAGACTCCCAGCAAGGGTGGGCGTTTTTGAAGACCGAGTTGCAAAAAACACAATCCCAAACAATCCCATGGAAGAAAATCCACTTGAAAAAGCCAATGTGGCTGCATAGCAAACAAGAAGTAAAAAAGAAAAAAGGAGAATGTATATAGAAGGGAAGGAAGGACAAATTTCCAAGGAAGAGTACAACCCTAGGCTTACAGGAATGGTATAAGGAAAGCTAAAGCTCAAAATGAGCTGAGACTGGCTAGGCAATAAAACAGCAACAAAAAGTTTTTTTTCAGATACATTTGACGCAAGAGAATGACCAAAGAGGCAGTAGAGCCACTGTACTGTAAGGATGGCAAAATGCTAACAGACCACAATGAACAGGCAGAACTACTCAAATCATAGAGCTGGAAGAGACCACAAGGGCCATCCAGGTTTCCCTACCAAAAAGAACTGTGTACTGCAGCAGCAGAGACCTTGGTAAGGGATTGTAAATCAAGATTAATAGAAAATTAGTCAGGAATCACACAACTAACCTAGAGTTCAAATCTGCAGGGTCAAATGAACTGCATCCCAAAGTACTGAAGGAAATGCTGATGTACTCTCTGAACCCCTTGCCATTACTTTTGATAGATCTTGGAGAAGACATGAGGTACCAAAGGACTGAAGAGGGGCAAACATTCCCCAACTCTTAAAAAAATAAAAAAGGCAAAAGAGCCAGGAAGCTACAGACCAGGGAGCCTAATCTCAATACCAGGGTGGGTTTTTTTTAGAATAGATTATACAGGAATCTGTCTGCAAGTGCCTTGATGACAATGCAGTGTTGATGAGGAACCAGCATGGGTTTGTCAAATCCTACCAAACTAATCATCCCCGCCCCCAGTCAGGTTACCAGTTTAGTAGATGGTGGGAATGCTATGGAGGCCATTTATTTGGAAGTATTTGAAAATGTTTTGATTAGCAAACTAATGTTTTGATTAGCAAACTAATTAAATGTGGAATAAACAAGGACACTGTCTGATGGAACCGTAACTGGTTGGAAAACCAGTTATCATCAGTGGCTGGATTTCAGTGGAAGAAGGTCTCAAGTGGAGCACTCGGTGTACATGAGCCACTATTTTTCAACATTTTTATTAATGACTTGGATGGATGACAACAGAGTAGAGGGAAACCTTATCAGGTTTTCAGGTGGCACAAAACTGGGAGAGCTGGCTAACAAATTGGAAATTTGGAACAGAATTCAATAGAACCTAGATAAACTAGAAAACTGGGCAGAAATTAATAAAATGAAATTAGATACAAATGCAAATATATACATTTCAGCCATGAAAAGAAAGGCTCAGGTATAAGATGGGGGATACATGGTTCAGTAGTACTGCATGTGAAAAGGACTTTGGGATTATTGTGGATCATAAATTGAATATGAGCCAGCAGCATGAAGTTAAAGCGAAAATGATGAATGCTATTTCAGCCTGGGTGAATAGAAGCATAGTTTTCAAGTTGAGGAAATAGTCCCACTATATTATGTACTGGTCAGGCTTCATCTGAAGTACTGAGTTCAGTTCTGGGAGTTTATTGCACTCAATTTTAACAATTTGGGCACTGGCTGGGGGCGCGCATGAATGTGCCTGAGGGGAAATGGATTTTATCACACTCAAAACAGTTGGCAAGCCGTCCCCATGCCATCGCTCGACCAGAGCCCATCCCCGAGCTGCACTGAGCTGGTCAATTTTGCTTTGCAGGAAATCTTCTGTCCTTGCAAAATCTGTCAGCTCAGCACAGCTCGGGGATGGGTTGTGGTTGAGCGATGGCATGGTGGCAGCTTGCCAACTGTTTTGAGTGCGATAAAACCCATTTCCCCTCATTCACGCACGTCACCAGGCAGTGCCCAGATTGTTAACAAATGTGAGTGCAATAAACTCCTTGGACACATTGATTTA